GGGCATGTGGGGGGCAGGTGTGAGGGCGTGTGGAGGGCAGGTAGGGGTCTGTAGGGGGCAGGTGTGAGGGCGTGTGGAGGGCAGGTGTGAGGGCATGTGGGGGGCAGGTGTGAGGGCGTGTGGTGGGCAGGTAGGAGTCTGTAGGGGGCAGGTGTGAGGGCGTGTGGAGGGCAGGTGTGAGGACGTGTGGAGGACAGGGAGGAGGCATGTGAGGAGCTGTTTGGGTCACGTCAGGTTGGCGGACATCCTTGGAGTCCCCACCCTCTGCCTCCCAGGGAAAGGCTGACGGAGGGGCTGTGTGAGCTGACTGCATCGCCCGAGTCGCTGCATGGTGACGACGCCAAGCCTGAGCCTCGTGCACTGTAGCAGGTGAGGGCCGGATCCTGGCCGGGGCAGGCAGGTGGGCAGTGCCCCCACCCCAGGCTCACCAGTGCTGGAGAAGAGTGGCCGTGCCAAGTCCTGCGGGTAGTGGAGTCCTGCAAACATGCCCGGGGCCGGGGGCCGGCTGAACAGGTCCAGCTTAGTGCCCATTTCCAGCTTGTGGGGGTCCAGCTGCATCTGCTGAGGGACAGAGGTGTCCATGGGCAGCCCCACCAAGAGCGTGCTCACGTGCCCACATTCGTGTGGCCTGGCTCACTTGGCCAGCAGGGACAGCTGCTTCTTGCCAGCTTGTCCAACACGCTGGGCACTCCCTGAGCCATGGGCACCGAGGCTGAGTGTGAGGACCCCCTGCCCACTAAGGGACACGTGACAGCTCACCTTGATCTTCTGTTGATGGTGGTGGATCTGCCAAGCGATCTGCACGTGGACGGCACACCACTTCCCGGGTTTCTGCTGGAGGAACGCGGACCCGCTCAGTTCTGCCCTCAGCCCTCCCACGCCCCTTCCTCCTCTGAGCTGGGCTGCAGATACGCTCACAAGCGGTGCGTAGACACGTGCACACACACAGGAACACCCCCAGATAAACACACAGAGACAGACATGCACACAGATACACAGATGAGCAGGCACCGTCGCTTAGATACTCACAGATGTACACGGACGCACATACATGTTTACAGGTAAACACAGATTTACACACACAGACTGCTGACAGATGTACATATAGGCACACACGCACAGGGCAGACACACATATTCAATACACGCCCAGACCTGAAATAAGCTCACAGACATGCTCACACACGTGCACGTACGCACATGCACAGGTACACGTACCCTGACCATGGTCCGGTAGTGGTCTGACACCTGTGGTGGACAGAGAAGAGGCATGAGCCTTGTCCTGAAGGTGGCTGATGCCTGGGGCGGGGAGAGGACAGGCTCTCCACAGGCCTTCAGTCCTGACTCTTCCACGTGGGAGCCTTGTAGGCTAGGAGGGGGCCAGACCTGCCATGGCCAACAAGAGCTACGTGGCCCCTGGGGAGAGGTGGGTCCGAGCTGACACTTACCACAGGGGCCTTCTGGAGGAGGGCATGGACGGCACTGGCCCGGCCTGTCACCTCAATGGGGCTGGCCGTCTGCGGAGAGAAAGGAGCATTAAAGCACCTCACTGTGGTCCTGGGAAACCCACCCGTCTTCAGCACCCCATGCCCTCCACACCTCACTGAAGGCGTTCCTTAAGCAGGGGGTGGGTTCATTGTGGCCCTGGATACTGCCTGGATCTTGGCAGCTCCAACATCTGTGTGCTCAGGGGCCCCAAGCTAGGCCACACGCTAGAATTCATTCTTCCTGCCCTCCCCCCAGCTCCTGTCTGATGGAGTTACTATAAAAGGCCCAAGTCCCGACCAGGGTAAAAGGCAGGGAGGCCCCTGGACTCTACCTCCAAGCCCTCACCCACAAGCCGTCCAACTGTGCCCACAGGCCTGCCCACTCAGACGCTACCTTGGGCTGGAAGGCACCCTGCAGGGACCCAAAGGGGCCGGGGTGTGGCAGTAGAGTGGGCATCCCAGGGATGGCCGGAGGAAAGGACGGGAACAACTGCAGAGATGCACAGTTAGGGGCATGGTGACCCCAAGACTCCCACCTGCCCCAGACCCCAGAAAGTCAGCCCTGGCCAGGGGGACCCGGGCCAGCAGCAGCAGAGGTAGAGGAGGCCGTTGCCCATCTGTGGCAGACCCTGCCCATCTCCCACGGTACCCTCCACCCTAGGCCGAGACCACAGTGAGGGGCCACTCACGTTGGAATGTCGGAAGAACGGGGTGTCCAGCTTGGGGGCGTACTTCTCAAACTGTGAGGAAGGAGAGATGGGGGGGTGAGGCTTCCCCTCCCCACACACTCACACCCTGTCCTGGGCCCACCCCGACCCTCCAGCCCCCATCCTGTGTGGGTCCTGGTCTGGAACGCAACCAGCCACTACTGGACCCAGTCCAGGACAAGCCCCTCCCACTAGTGGCCAGCACTGGTGGGTCTGGTCAGGCTGTCCCAGCCTGAAGGACAGATCATGCTGACGTCACTGGAGTCTGGCTCATAGACCCTAGCGTGTCCCCCGTGTTCATGTGGCCCCAGCACCCCTCTGCGGGGTGTGGGCAGAGCCTTGGTGAGACCCC